TGGCATGTGTTAGATCTTTTGAATTGTACCTTCTTACATACTTTCTCTCTTCTCTGAATGATATGCCCCATTCCCTTCATACTCTGATAACCGATGTTTTTTTTATCAGGGTGTAGGGGAAATTTGACACTACCCTTAAAAAAAAAGAAAGCCCACAAATAAGATCAGTCATGCAAAGTTTTTATTTCTGCATCTGGTTTCCTTCACTCAACGCAACATTCTCTTGGTCTTTCCATTCTGTGGCAGACTGGGGGAGGGAGGGTCTCCTTTTTATATTGGCTAATACCCCTCGGTGTACACACACCATCTTTCCCTTGCCCGTTAGTGCAGATACCAGGGCATCTTGGTCCCCTGGCTGTGGTGAAGAGCTGCAGTCCTCAGCAGGGGTTTGTGAGTTTGTGCTCACCTCCTTTGGCTGGTAGGTGTTCCGAAGGGGAGCTGGAGGGTCATCATGGAGCACTGTGGTAATTCCCTGGTAAAATGCAAATGTTTACAATGTTGTGTATCACATTGTTGTTTTCCTCTGAAAGCTTTAGGAGGTGTGGCCTTCACGGGAACTCTGGAAAGTTGAGGCTGTTATCGGAAGGTGCCATGGCACCAGCTTCCCCAAACCCTCACTTTCCTCTCATGACTGCTGCCACTCTGGAGCCTCCTGGTCCCCCCCTCCCTCGCCTGGGAACCCATGAGCTCTCTCAAACCCAGGCAGACCTGGCTTCTCTGAACACCTAGCAGAACGGCATTCTCCATGACTTGGTTGAACTTCACCTGAGAGTGTGATTTCTCTCCCCCCCCCCCAGTTACAAACACCTGTAAAGTGTCCACATCAGTCATGGGCAGCCACTTCAGCAAAGGCTCCTGGGCTTTAGCCAAAGGCTGGGAATAGCTGGCGGCCTGCACAGCAGACTCAGAGTCCAACCACTGCAGGGACACTGCCTGCCTGCCAAGATCTTTGACAAGTGAAAGATGCTAGGCTTGAAAAGGAGCACTTGGGGGAGGGAGTCAGGGTTACTACTCTGCTCCAGTCTCTGTGACTGCGGCCCCAGAATGACTCGAATGAAAAAAAAATTGTAGTGAAAACTAGTAAGTATTGGGGAGCATGTGGAGAAATTACATCACTCAGACATTGCTGGTGGAGGTGTAAACTGTGCAAACCAGTGTGGGAAACTGTAGTCCCTTAAACCACAGAATCGCCATAGGACTCGACGATTCTACTTCTTCATATGACCCCTAGAAATGGAAACCGAGGCCCACGTAGAGCCGTGTGTACCCATGTCTCTGGAAGCTCCGTTCATATGAGCCGAAAGGGATGAATAAACAAAATGTGATCCATGGCATAGGTTAGTCACTCTTTAAAAAGGGAAGGCTCCAATGTGGGTGAACCTTGTACAGGTATTAAAGGTAAAACTCATGACAACAGGTAATGTATCATGTGGTTCCCTTTATAGGATGTAGCTAGCAAACCAGGAATCAGGAAGGTGCCTGGGGAAGCTGGGAGTGGGAGGCACTTACTAAAGGATATAGGGCTTTCTCTGGCATGATGAAATAGGAGCATCCCATTGTGAATGCTGTAAATGGCACTAGATTGGGTGCTTTAAGATGCTGGATGTTAACACGGGGTCACCCCAATTAAAACATTGTCCTCTGGGCTGCTGTTCTATTAGTGCTGGAGACATAGTCAGAAGCCATGGCTGGATGGCCCCAGGGAGGGAGGACAGTGGTATTTTGTCTCAACAAGAAGTTTCCACTAAATACAGTTAGCAACACAGGCACGGAGTAACTGGAGAAAGTGTCTAGGTGTGCAGGGTTGGGGACACCCAGGAGGCACAGCTGGATGCCGAGCAGCAATGCGAGCTAAGGAGTAGTAGCTGTCACACGGGCTCCAGCTCAGAGTCCCCCTGGGCCACATTTAAAAAAACAAAAACATGATCCCTACCCAAGATGTTCATGCCACTGATCTAGGGCATGGCCTAGTCATCTAATTTTAGCCATCCACTTCCCACAACAGGCACATCTTAGTAGCCTGGGATCTGGTTTAAAAAAAAAAAATCCCAGGGTGACTTGTATGAGCTGAAGTCCTTTATATGCAAGATGCTTTGAATTGCCTGCTCTCGTGTTATCTTGTGTGTGTGTGTGTGTGTGTGTGTGTGTGTGTTGCTTGTGCGTGTGTGGATGGATGATAGAATATATATGTAGGTACTTGTGCATGGTGTGTTTCTTCTCTCTCTCTCTCTTTCTCTCTCTCTCTCTCTCTCTCTCTCTCTCTGTGTGTGTGTGTGTGTGTGTGTGTGTGTGTAGGGGCAGAAGTTGACCCAGGTGTCTTCCTAGCCCTCAACTGGATCCACCCAGGCAGTAATTTAAGAAGTCTAGGCTTGCCTCCCTGCCACGGCCTCCCAAGTGTTAGAATAACCTGCCACACCCACCGGCTTTTATACAGGTGCTGGAGATCTGAAATGCGTTCCTCCCGTGCCGTGGCGTGTGCTGTATCCTCTGAGCCATCTCCCTAGCTCTTCATTTTACCTTCCACAAAACACGAGTGACCACATGGGCAGGTGACAAATGTCACATTTGACAGCTAACAAAGGCCAAGCACAGGGAATTCCATTAGTGCACGTGACTCAGCATCACCAGCCGCCTGAGGTGGCCTGGCCTGGGCTGTCTCCACCAGGCCTGGGATCCCATTTCATTCATCTCTAATGTCCCCCTCCCCTGTTCTGCCTCCATGCCCTGTCCAGAGCTGGGCTGGGTAAATATTCCATGTGTAGAGGAAGAGGGAACAAAGCACAGAGAAAGCATGGGCCCCTTCTGCTCTGTCCGCTCCCGAGTGCCCTGCACACCTGTACTTCCAGCAGCTCGGTTTCTCGTTTCCGACTTCTCTGTTCCCAGCCCTGCCCGGTGTTCTGTAATGCAGGCTCTCACTGAAGGTACCAGTTGGGTGAGGATGAAGTTGAGCAGGGTGGTTTAAAGAGGGACCAGAGCCTTAGCTGGGATGGGAAGAACCTCTTCATGATGGCTGCAGGGCCTAAGGAAGATCGCACTACGAGACATTTGCCTGTCTTTCCCCTTTTAAAACTTTGTCTGTTTTGGACCCCTCACTGACAAATGGGGAGCTCTGCTTGCAGGCCCCTGGAGTCTAGGACAGAAGGAGACAGGGCCCTGATGTCGGTATCGGCTCCTTTTCCTACAGGATCTTTAAAGGCTAATAGTTGTCTTACAGACCCACATGCCAGCATCAGGCTCCCATATGATCTGTGGCAAATTCAAAGCAGATAGAGGTGCGGCCTGTTTTGAGGGCTGTCCCTCATCATAACGCCAGGTCAGAACAGGCAGGCTCATTCCAGCTTGGTTTGTGTTCCTCAGCCAGGTAGAGTTAGCAATCTAAACCATGTGAAGGAAGACTCGCAAATGAGGAGCTTAGTGGAGGGTCAGGTGGATAAGAAAGGCAACCAGCACCGATGACCCTAAGATCAAAGTATCGATCCACTCTGACGAGTGTTGAAGATGGTCTTCATCCTGCAGTATGAGCTATTCAGTGTCTCCAGAAGAAGGGCTTAGAAAAGATGCGGCCCTTCTTATTACCATTCCTTAAAACCTGCAATGCATGCATACTCCTATACAGGGTGGTCAGGGGAGACGAGGGGGAGAGGACTTGACTGCTTAATTTAAAAACAAACAAAACACGAAACAACAGCCTTGACGTTTTCTTGCCTTTTTATTCTTAAGAGAGTGAATGAATTACAACATGCACCTACATGTCATTTCTTCCCCCCAAAAAAACAATGGGGTTTATACAAAAGGACCGGTTTGATGCACAGGAGACATCAAGTGTTTCTCTTATTACTTTCAGTCTATCTTCCTTTCAAGAAGGCTTGTAAATCCGATGTTTGTTTCTGGTTTTGGTGACGTCAGAGAGAGAGAGAAAGAGAGAGAGAGAGAGAAAGAGAGAGAGAGAGAGAGAGAGAGTTCAGGCTGACCTGAAGAATCTGAGTGTTCCTGGTGGCCTTGGTGTAATCCATCACTTTCAGGGAGGAGAGATCTGGCTGGAGAGATCATAGAACAACAACTGTGGCAGGCTGGGCCACTGCTGGAATTTAAGTAGCTCCAAGAAGGGAGCATACCTCTCGAGAACACTGCCTGGTTAAACACTGGGAGTCGCAGGTAGGAATGATGCATCCCCGGCTTTAGCAGCGGCTTGTGGCTGACTTTTTATAATTTAGCTGAGCGTATAAAAGAAAGTCTCTACTTAAAATTAAAACGAAAGCAGTAATTCAAGCATCTCTCATTTTATCTAGGATTTCCAAGTTAAAAACACAAAACAAAAACAAAAGAGAGAATGCATCTAGCCGCTGTTGCCTGGAAACCAGGTGTGTGTTACTTTGTTCTGCAAGACGAATTGGCAGTGTGGAATTATGCATGGCAGAAGGCTCATTAGTGAGGGTGGGCGGGACTCGGAGCTCCCCTAGCTAGTGGCTGGGAGCCACTCACACATTCAAAGTGTGATTCAGCTCACAGAGATGTTTACTGCAGGCTCTTCAGGAAACTCCTTGCATGCCAGCTGAATTCCCTGGTCTAGCAACTTTGTCAATAGCAAGGTCCTTTTAAAGGGACACACTTTGCTGGTTTCCTGGTGGTGGCCAATGACTGCCTTGGAAGTTTAGAAGTAATGGCAGCTGGTGAGGAATGGGCTTTTGGTTGCAAGGCCATATGAACATCCTTGGGAACCGTCACCTGACCGCCCTTCACTGGTGTTTTACATCCTAGGTGCTTTCAAGCTATTGTGTTCTTGGGTTTCATGGTCCCCCTGCAGGCTGGAGGTGAGACAGAGGGAGTAACTTGCCTCAAGTCACCAGGATGGCTGCATGATAGGAGCAGTGTTTGAACCAAAGATCCTCCAGGGCCTTTGCCTCCTGGAGGCTGAATCCTGGTCTCCCTCGTCAGTGTTGGGGTCCATTTATCATCTGCTAAGTAAATTCATAAGCACAGGTCAAGGGAAAGAGCTGGCAGGACAGAAAGAAGGAAGGGAGGACAGACAGATGGGATCATTTCCTAAAAGAGGCTGGGAGAAGATTCCCAAAGTCCTGGGCGTTTCTTGTTGAATGTTTGCCAAGGGCTGGCTGACAAGCTCTCCTCATCCACACCCACTGTGGCCTCACTGTGAACACTCTGGGGCCCCCGACTCCCTCTCATCCGCCCAATGCCCCCCTCCCCCGGGGAGCTCTGGCTCCTACCCAGCCTGCAGGTGTGTGCTAGGCCCTTCTGGGACCACCTGACTCCAAGCCTCCGTTCCCCGAAGTAGATCAACTCAACTGGCCTCCCGACGACTTCCATCGCTATCTATCCGACTTCTGGGCAGAAATGCCTGGCGGTGGCCCTTCCAGATGTTTTGCTGCTGTTGTTGTTGTTGTAGTGCTGGGATTCCAACCAGGGGTCTTGTCAGTAGGCAAATGTCCTACCCCTACCCCTGAACTACAGCCTCAGCTAGAACTTTCTGCCTAGTGACGCCGTGGGAACAGCCGAGGACCCTGTGAGGTCTCTGTGGCCACCAGTCCCAGCAACCCTTGACCAAGCCAGTCCTCTCCGTTTATGCCGATGGCCATGGTTGGTCATTGGAGAGGGTCAGGGGGTGGGGTGGGCGCAGAGGAAGCTGCAGACTTGGGAGGTGGCTTTGCCCTCCCGGTAATCCATGTCAAGTGTCAAGGCAGAGCCCTGTGCAGGTGAGCTTGGGCCAGTTGCACCACAGTAAAGACTTAGGGCAGCTTGTCCTTAGTGGCATAGCCTCCAGGAGCCTCTGGGAGCATGGATCTGTAATTTAGGCTTACCACGTTTTTGTTGGTGGTGGTTTGCTTTTAAAGGAGTAGTTGTTACTTTTTAGTGATGTGCTTATGTCTAAGGGTGGAGGGGGCCCTGTGGAAGCGCAGGCGCCCACGGAGTGCAGAAGAAGGAGGCAGAACAATTTCCTCTGTGCTCTTCGATGGGCCCCCGTCTGCCACCTGGAGGCCACGCTGAACTGCTCAGGCTGGGCCTGGGATTGGCCTTGCCTTCCCGGGTTGGGTTCATCATCCAGGAAGAGCAGGGCTGCTATGCTGACCCACTTTCGCTGTTTGCCCACGGCAGGCTAAGCCTGTCTGGCCTTGTTCAGAGGCACCAGGTGGAATAAGCTGCCTTCCGAGTGCAGATGGCAGCCTTTGGAGCGTCTGAGTCTGTGTTATGTCTAAAGGACTCCCACCTGGCACCCTGGGGTGGCTGGAGCACAGGATCCCATCACGGGCTCCTTGCCCCACATTCAGCCTGTCCCGCAGCAACCCAGGGCTAGGATACAGGCTTGCTGGGGACCAAAGCTGGGCTTCCCCCACCCCGCCAAGGCTTCAAAGACAGGTCCACACCAGTAAGCTACAGCCGAGCATGGGCCAGGCTTAACCCCTTCCCTGAGCCCTCAGAACCGCAGCTGCTTGTAGAGCCACCTAGAAGTGGGGGCTCTCCTGTCCCTGAGGGGGTTTGCCATCCAGTAAAAGGGGTTCTGAGTGTCTAAAACCAAAGAAAGGGAGTGGCCGATAGAAAAGGAAGAGGGAACCTCGCAGGGCAGAGGACGATGGGAGTGCCGATCACTGATTGATTGGCAGCTTGTCCTCAGGGCTTAGGATGCTACAGTGTGGTCTCTGTCTCCTCACCTACGGGGCTGTGCTGATTGATGTGTATGTCATCCCTCATCTACTCTGCACACAGCTGCTACTTGCGTTTCTTGCCAGATTGCTGTTCCTGGGCATCGGCTATGATGTCTTCATCGTTTCGCATCTCGAGTGTGAGGGCCTGTAATGAGGGGTACAAGGGTGCACAGCTAAACCCCAGCACTAGGGGACAGCAGGCACGCAGAGTTACAGAGAACCCAGAGCTTGCTGGCCAGCCTAGCCAGTCGGCTAGCTCAGGTCAGTGAGAGACAAGGAGGTGGTTCAGCACGTAGACTGCTGTCTTAGGCTAGCCTTACAGCCTGAGTTCAATCCCCAGGGTGCATAGTGGGAGTGCTAATTCCCAAATGCTGTCCAACCTCTGAGCGCAGGCTGTGGTACACTTGAGTGCGCGTGGTCATTGACACTGACTCCCTTCTACTTGCATGGGCAAGCACACCTGTACACACTCACACTGGCGGGGGGCGGGGCCATGATGGAGAAGAAGAGGAGAAAGAAGAGGAGGAGAATGGGAAGAGGGGAGTAGAAAGGAGGAGGAGGAAAATATGAACGCCTCTACCCTGCTATATAACCCGTCCCAGGGCATGCTGGGCCTCTCCAGTGGCTGGCTTTACCTGGGTCCAGGAGAGGTTCAGAGCCAACAGGAGCCTAGCTAGCTACTTCACACTTGGCTGTAGGGTGGCTTTGTTCTGTGCTCAGTAGAGAAAGAAACCAGGGAGAGTCCGTCCCCAGCCTTAGTTGTTGCTCTGCACTAAGAACACTAAGAATGCAGACCTGCGTAATAAGGACCTGGCTAGTGGGGGGGGGGGGGCTTGAGGACATCTGGATGGGGCTGCAGGCGTAAAGGCGGTGCCTAGTCAGTCGGGCAAAGTGACCCGACACACCCTGCGTTCTCCTGACCAGGACCTTTGAACAAAAGTGCGTCGCCGGCCCCTCTGTTCTCAGCTGATCTGCAATAGAGCCAGCTGAGGAAACACTGGGAGGTTTAACCTCGTGGATACCTTGTAAAAGGAAGTAGAATAAAGCACAGGGCTTCCTGCTGTGAGGAAAGAAAGCCCCCTGCCGCTGGCTGGAGCTCGTCCCCAGGCCCCAGGGGAGCTCCCGGCTGAGCAGTGTTACCAGAGGGGTGGGCAGCTGGCTGTGCAAGGCAGGCAGGCAGGTCACTGTTAAACTCTAAATGAAAGAAGCAATGGCTGTCGGGAGGAGGCGAGAAACAATGCTGAGGATTAATGCTTCGTCCTTGGTGGCCTGTAGTTCAGACAGGCCTGGCCTGGGAAGCCTGTGGTTCCAATGGCTCCCGGGGCCTGTTTCTAGCCACTGTCCAGCAGAAGAGGAGAGGATCCTAAGGGCTTCTCCTCTAGACTGTGCAAGTCAGGTCTTAGCCACACCGGTTACTGATGAAATCATCGTACTCGGGATGCAGCAGAAGCCACCACCAGACCAGAAGGGAAGAGGATGAAGGGCTTTTCAAACCTAAATCCAGCTCACTCCCAAACTGACGACCGCCTCTCCCAGCTTCACAGGAAGTAGCCCACATTTTTGGTTAAATGTTATTAAGCTCAAAACCCCATACCCTGGCGTCCAAACTTGCTTGACTTCCTGTTCCCGAGGATATCTTGTTTTTCCTTTGCTCCCTTGGAGCACAGTTAGGATGACGCTTCCCAGGCTCAATGGGTCTTTCGGAGCCCAGTTACCTGGGGGAGAAAGCAGGGCCAGCAACTTTCGGGTTGTCTCTGGCAGCAGCTCCCAACAAAGGCTGCCATGACTCAGCTGAGGGTGTGACTCATGCCTCCTTTCCCCGCTTACCGACTTCGCCAGGCATCTATTGTCCACACCCTGACCACACGCTGTCACTCATCAGATTCCCTAGTTGACTCAAGTCAACTACAGTGGGGCTTGCGGTCTTCAAAGGGGGCCCCCTAAAGGGCATCTTCAGGGATGGGGGCACAGGCACCAGAGGTTACAAGAACTGCGAGGACCCTTACAAAGGTCCCAGACGCCGCCGCCATTTCTAGGTTGCAAACTCTGGGCTGACCAAAGATGTCATTGTAAGTCGACTTAAAAACAAATTCTCTAACTCTCTCCATTCATTGCCTGTGCGATCATTTCCCTTACCAGTGACTCATCGGGCTCTCGGACAAGGCAACTATGACGCAGCTAGAGTCACAAAAGGCGGAGTTGCTGGCGGTCCTGGGAGCTCTGTAAGGGCTGGTCAGGGGCTCACCTTTGTGTCAACACAGGAAATGCTCTTGAGGTGTGACTACTTGTGGCCCCGTGCTGGATTGGACCAGAGTGGAGATCAAATCTGCCAACCTGGCTCTTCCCGGCTTAGCAAATACGCCTGAACACGAGAATTCCTTAACTGAAGGGGAGTTGGGGAGTGAGGGCAGACTTTGCCTCTCTGGTTTTTACTGCCCATTTTATTTAGAAAACAAAACACAACACAACTACTTTCTCTCCCCAGTGGATGAATCACTCACTGGCAAGCCGAAAGCCATTCCCTGGAGAGGAATGGAAGTCACTTACTTCTCAATTTCCTTAATGACAAAAGGGCACGTCCACAGGCCATTGGCCCCTGTCCCTTGATGCCTGGCAGGACAGAGGGAAATTCTCTGCTCACAGCCATAAACCCAGCCAACTGGGGAGATGCACGTCTGGCCTGTTTTGATTTCAACTTGTTTGTTTCTTTCTTCTTCCCTTTAGTGAACTAAATCCACCAAGTTTTGTTGGTGTGCTAGGGAGGAGAATTGGGATTTTTCCAGCTAGCTTGGGACCTGTAATCCAAACCACTTCTGAGCCATTTTGAAAACACCACAGTTTTATTTTGTGAAAACGTCAGCCTTGCAGCGCAACAGACTTATGGAAGTCATTTCACGGAAGATACATGATGATACAGAGTGATCCACTGGGCCTATAAAGATAGTACAGAAAGTTCAAAATGACTCTAGTGATAATTTAACATGGACAGAAACTGCTTGGCCCTCAGCCTGTTTTAGTAGATAAAACAGCCATGCACTTTAATGCATATGTGGTCAGTGCCTGGTTTCACACCACAGTGAGGGTTGAGCAGTCACAGGAAGACTATAGGGTCTGCTTTAAACTATTTACAAGCTACCAACCCCAGCTATAATGAAATAAAAATAATACTATTTCAGTGGCTTGATTTAATGGATTTCTAAGGAACTTTTTCTTCTTCTTTTTTTCTAGTAAGTGGGATCATAGGCCTTTGACTTGAACAGAATTACAGGCCGATAAGGAAACACCTTGGTCTCAAAGGTTGAAGGAATCCTTCCTGTTCTAGGTCACAAGGGAATAAGATGTGTTTTGACTGTAAATAAAGTTCATAACCTTGTTAGTGAGAATCTCAGGAAGTTGCAGGTTTATAGCTGGGAGGGTTAGGGTAAGCCCAAAGGTCACGTTTGTTTCGGGCACAAGCCTGGCTTACTGCCATTTTAAATAT